GTAATTTTTGCTAGATATACAGCAGAAATACCCTCTTCCTCCCCCAATCCAAAACTAAGGGACTGCTCAAATGTAGCTAATTGTTCAACTTTAAATTGGGGAAAACTAGTATCAGATACAAAAGTAAAAGATTTGAGAGGGCTAAGTAGATCCCTATGAGTAACTAAGACTTGCAGCTAAAAACCTAAGTGAATACCTGGAAAGTTGGCTGTTGAAATATGACAGAAAAACAGTGCTTTAAATACAACTTTAAAGTACTTAATGCATGACATTCGTGTTTAAATATAGAGGGTTAATAGCTTAAAACATGAGTTTAACTTCACAGTCATGGTAGTAAGTGCAATTTAATGGGGTGCTAATAAGTGGATGCAGCTAAGTAGCATGAAGGGTATGAAGAGAAGACTCCAGGAGGAGGGATGTGTGATATAAATACTGAGCTTACTGTCCATGAGTAACAAAAAGCTGAATTTTACTTTGTCTCAGCTTCAGGATTTATTATGAGAGCATGAATATGTATACAAATATATTCATAAATCCTGGAATGATGTATATTTAACTGAAGGTGGGCCTCCTAAGTCTCCTAGTCCATCATAGGATCACAGGCTAATTCAAGTTGGAAGGGACCTCAGGAGGTCTCTTTTCCACCACCCGCCTAGAGCCTGCCCCAGGTCACGTTGCTGAGGGCTTTATCCAGTCCAGTCTTGAAAAACACCAAGAATTGGAATTGCACAGTTCTTCTGAGCAACCTGTTTCACTCTTTGACTCTTCTCTTTGTAAAAAGGTTTTCTTTATGTACAGGCTAAACCTCACTTGTTTAAATCTATGCTGGTTCTTTGTTGTCCTCCCATCATGCACCACCATGAAGGGCATGGCTTTGTGTTCTCAATGATCTTCTCGCAGCTGAAAAGCTTGTCAGGTCCCCCTGAAGCCATGCTAACTTTGCCTCACAGAGTATATTTTTCTAGTGTACTTGGCTTTACGTATAGCAGAGCTTTATCTTTCACTACTTCCTAACAGAATGTAACACATCACTGTCAGGAAGTTATTACCAGTAGTCCTTTCATACATTCATTTCCTGATTTCATCTTCTTTATTTAAAATGAGCATAAATGCTATGATCATATTGTTAAACAGGTTTTTAGTGGGATGGATAAGAGATCTTGGCCAGTATAGTTAACAGAACTGTCTCTAACCAGACGACTAACTGTGGTCAGAATCAGACCTACCAATGCAAGGAAACTGGAGGAATGACTGAAATTCTCTGTCTAAATCTGATCTTCTGGCGATTTTATGCTGGTGACTCCGTAGACTTGCAATATGTTCTCATTTGTAGTTTGAGAACTGAAAAAGGTCTGTTATATCCAGCTGCTGATCTTGGGCGGTCTGTATGGAGTTAAAAGGGATAAATGATCCCCTGCATAATTTTATTGATGCATCCTGAATTATCTTAAATTTCAGTGTAATGCAAAGTTTTGTGAATATCCTTTGTAGATGCATTTTAGTTGTGTTAAGTATTTTTAGGTAGGTATTAGGAAAAGAATTAGCATTTAAAAAACGGGGAAAAAAATCACAAGCTTGCAGAGTGTGGTAGATGATATAGACAGATGAGATAACTAGCTTTAACATTTCGCAATGGTGGTAGATGATGCCTTGATGTCCGTTCTCTTGATTGTGCTTTTATACTACATTTGACAATACACTAGATCTGCTTTTTAAGCAATGAGCTGTGGCCTTGATATATCTGCGGTTGTGTTGCATTCAGAGCAGACCTTTGTATTAATTGATAGCACAGGGAAAATTCTTTTGTGTGCAATTTTTTTTCCTTACAGGAAGAGTTTAAAAAACAAAGCCTCTTGTAAAAATCCCACTCTATACCAAAGAATTTTCCAGGTGTTTATCATCGAAGGGCGAGACTCTGAGAACCTAAGAACGTTATGAACCCCCGCGGAAGTGATAACTGTGTACAAAGGACTCAATTCTTGCATATCCTGTTTTATGTAGTCTTAGGAGAAAGCATGTTTTATAGTATTTAAAGCAAAGGAAAATCACGTTCTTAATGCATTTATTAAAAAACAGCCACTTGGGTGCTTTTTAATGGTCATTTCATAGGCTGGATATAGGAGCATGGCTGAGCATATCAAACAGCAGCCTCTGTGAATGTTTATTAATGAAATCTTGGAGCAGTTTGAAATTGCATGTACCAAAGGCATGTGTACTCTAGTGAGCAGCTGTCTCTGGTGGTGAACTAATCTGATGAGGGGAAGAACTGTGTTAGAGAGAATCTTTACAATCCAAAATCAAAATCTTTCACCAGCATCAAGAGAGCTTTATTGTAACCCAATATTTTTTACTGCAGAGGAGTGACATTTAAAAGTTTTGGAATAAAAAGCCTTTAAACAGCTGAGAAGGAGGGGGAAAAGAAAAAGATGTGAAATGGAAGATTGGAAACAGCAGAGAATATTATTTAAAGCCCTTTGTCATCCATGAAAGATTATAAAGACATCCTGAATGTACAATGGGGGGTATGCAAAAGGTGCTGGAAGGAACTTCCGCCAGACTTTCCTTCAACGCCTCTGCAGAATAACAATGAAGTAATTCTTTACAGAATGCCTCTTTCCTGAGTTCTTCAGCTGGCTCAGCCAAAGTTTTTAGGAATGGATTGGTTCCCGTGAGCAGAAATGCCAAATATATCTCTGTTTGGATGTAATATGTTGAATGGGGGACAAAAGGCATTGGAATGCCTTGTGTATACCTGCTACTGCAGACAGTGGTCAGTGTTTCAGTCCTGTGTTCTTGTTACCAGGACAAGAAAAAATGTGCATCTATATTGTTTGATTAGCCATGACCACTGTCAGTTGCCTGTCATTCTTTAAAAATGAGAAGTTGTTCATAAAGCAAAATAATTTGAAAAAGTGTATATACTGTCTAAATACAGTCAACGAGTAATGTGATAGTTTCCACCTACGGTGGAGTAGATTTTGCTTTGTTTCTGCTAGTTTACTTCGCTTGGTTAAAGATGTTATGAGGTAGTTTAGGACAGTGAAACAAATTCTTTTCTGCATCATGCTTATCTATCACTTAACCCTTTTGTAAGCAACTCAGCTGTAAAATAACATAACACCTCGCCTGCTTTTGCAAAATATTTTGAAAGCACAGTGTAATTTTAAGGAATTTATGAATTGTGTCCCAATAGATGTGCCCTCCTCATCTTCTGTGATGTAGATCTTAATTTTGTCAGCACTTTCATCTCTTTGAAACACTTTGAAAGATCTCAAACATTCACTTTCTCTTGGCTCACCTTACACTTTAATTGAACACATTAAAAAATCGTTCAGGACGATGATTCAAAATATGCTTTTCTGTTCTACCTAACCACTTTGAGTTGGATCTTATGGACATTCAGTGCACAATGTACTGACTCACTGTAAATTTGTTTAATTCTGCTGTATAGTTCCACTATATTACTATGTTGCTAAAATCATGTTTCCAATTTTTTTAGAAAAAAACACTATCAGGTAATGATGTGGACCTCTCTAACGTACTGTTTTGTATCACTGTTTCTCAGTGTGTCTATCTTTTGGACAGATATTCAGCCAACTATGAATAGACATAAAATCCATTGACTTCAGTTAGGCTATCCCTTTTTACACTGGCTGAAAACCTGTTCTACTCTATCCACAGTATCACTCCTTGCATTTATGTAAGTACAAGAAGGTGCAGTATCAGACACTATAGGCTGCAAGCTTAAAAAAAAAGTCTTTAAGAACCTGGGAACTGTGAATTGTATGCTCAGATCCCCTAGATTATGAGATGAGGTTTAATCTAAGTCTAAGAACGGAATTTTAGATATTCTGTTGTCCTTATAGAAGCACAGACATTCACTGATAGACCGTCAGTGTGAGATGCTGCAGACACTATGTGCCTCTGGATTAAAAATATTTGTAATGACAAGTGGAACAAGTGTAAAGATCTTTGTGCTAGTCACATCAAGTAGTAATGTTAACTTGCATTGCCAGACTGTTCAAAAATTGAGATCTGAGCTCTGATTACAAAAAGTCAGAAGCTGAATCGCAGTGCAATCTGCAGACCTAAGAGCAGAATTTTGGCCTTAAGCTTTAAAAAAAACCAACAAAAAACTAGCTAGACAAATGGAGTCTCCCAGTATAATTTATCCTGTAATTGCATAGTGATAATATAACATACCAACTAATACCGAAAAATATGTTAGTTTGTTTATTTTCTTACCGGAATAGTGTGAAAGCATCATTGGGTACATCATGTACTTTAGAGAATTTGTGTTCTTGTCATAGAAATCTAATGCTTTTTATTTTCCTTTTTCTGGAAAATAATTTGTGTCTGTACACTTGCGGCTTACAGAGCAAGGCTAGCATGTACATCCCCCTTCTGGGAGGGTGCCTCAAATGCTTGCCCTGTGTTCTGTAAGAATCCTTGTACTCATTCTACACTTGTGCTGCCAAACAGGCTGCTGCTTCATTTCTTCTATGCAGCAAGTTTAAAATCTCATCATATTTATTGTCCTCATTTATCATAATTTCTCCCAAGCCAACCTCCTATTAGTGACTTCATTGCTTCTACCAGTTCCTTAGGTGGAGATGGCTGAAGTGGGTGTAACCAAAATGAAAACTGTAGCTAAATTGGGTGATTCAGAGTAGGATGAGATAATGTGGCAACTGGCACTATTTTAAGCATTCTCTGTTTTGTTTGACTCTGAATGTATCAGGCACTAAGGAACATATAATGGTAGTTGTGGTCCAGTTTGTCACGCGTAGTCAGGTTGTAAATCAAAAGATCTGCATTATGGAGCTCTGAAATACACACAGGCAAACTTAGAACTCAGAACTTATATCTTATCTTACATGTATGGAAATGAAGAAAACAAAGCTCTTCTCAGACAGAAAGGAAGGAGTATGGTTAAATAGGGTGTCTTTGAAGTGTTTCTGTATGCCTTCTTACTATGCTTCTGCTTTCTCTACCCCTAGCTTTCTTTGGAAAGTACCTTAATGAATACAATGGCTCCTACGTGCCTCCTGGTTGGAAAGAATGGGTTGGATTACTTAAAAACTCTCGATTTTACAACTACACACTCTGTAGAAATGGAGTGAAGGAGAAGCATGGATATGACTACTCCAGGGTAGGTCCTGTTGGTTTATTCCTATTTTTTTCAATATTTGGACGTGATCGCAGGAAAGCTGCGCTTTACGGTTTCAATCTAAGGAATTCTTTTTGTACTTGAAAGCTGCCACGTGTAACATTAGCTACAACCCAGTAGGCGTCACGTTTGGACTTTTTGTTATCTTCCATTCCGGGAGGGTCCTGTTATTGAAAACATTGTTAGCAGCAATGGAAACAAACAAAACTTCCTGTGAGTCTATTATATATTATGAACTGAAGATGTGAAAATGGATTTAAATGCCGCATGATAACTATTTCTGTGTTTTGTACTTTAATTATTGTGTGCTGAGTCTGATTGTCATCTATCCCCCTGGTATAGAATTGACTCCAGTGGAGTTACACAAGCGTAAATGAGATAAGAATCCAGTTCCCTCTGGCTAGACCTATCTTTTTGTTATTTTAAAGAACTTGTTTCACAGCCACATTATGATGGAGAATTCATAATATCTTAGTTTATCTTATGATAATTCTGAATGAGTGGAGAATTTAACTATTAAATTTATATCTCCATGCATTGTTACAAGCGCATATGTTTCCTAATATCCTTGCAAGGATGTTATACCCTGGCCAAACATACTAAAATGCTTGATAATCATTGTCAAATGCAGTATCCTTTTTTTGCTCATCTAGCACATTTTACAGCTCAAACAGTTACCTGTTTGCAGAAAGGAGTATGTTTATTTCAGCTGAAAGTGTTACCTTTCTGAAGGAACCAGCTTCTGTGAATTCCTAAACTGGCCTGAATCTCTGAAGTATGATGATAAATAAATTTATCCATAAAGTGCTGTAGTTTAAGTAGTGTGTAACTCATGAAGTTGACTCACTCTGGAGGGATACTAATTTCTAAGGTGTACTTGCTTAACAGGGATTGGTTTGCTTTCTCTCAATGAGCACAAACCCTACCTCCGTATTTGTTTTTCATTAACAATGTGTTCACAGTCAGTTTTTCCTTTAAAAGGTTGATGTCTGTGTGATTTCCCCCTTCCCCTCCCCTACTTGCTGTTTTTAATTGAATGTACTTTGTGTTGAAAGATAAAACTTAACAGGCTTCTAGGGTTTCCTATTCTATCACCAGCTGCTAAGGGGAAGGGGTAACTGATGTACAGAATTATTTGTCTTTTATTCCCCTTCTGATCTGTGAAGAATGAGAGCGCTAATCTTTACAGCCATGTACCCATAATGTTATGATCTTACATGGAACAATGACAGGGAAGTGATTTCATAGGGCACCGTTCCCCATTGTACCAAGGAGCCAACAGGGAACTTTATGTTCCAACATCTTCAGCTCTGGTTTGTGTATGCAATACTTGAAAATGTTTAGGTTTTCATTTGGTTTAGTTTTTCTTACCGAGTTTGGTAATAAATAATAAAAAAATCTGATGAAAATATAAATGTTTTGATAGTCTTCATATTCTTGCATAATACACAGCTATGGTAGTAAACAGATGATAGTGTGCAGAGCAACAGTACTTGATGTTAATGCTGGAGTTCAAATAAACAGAAGATGAAATACAAGATTGCTTCTCTTTCTTTCTTGCGATTTTTGTTGCTGGAAACTTAATTTCAGCAATGAACAATATAATCCAAATTATTTTTTAGCCTTATCTACTTGACATAGTTAATGTTAATTATGTGCCAGTGGAAAACTAGAAAAAACCATTACTGATTCTGTCCTCCAAAGTGACTGCTAAGCACTTATCCTCTGAAAATCAAATCTTTGCAAATTTTTTCAGGTTTCCTAACAGGATATATTCTACTTTGAATTTTTTTTTTCCAGTTTTTGTCAACATTTTAGATGAATTTTTAGTTTTGTGTGCATTCACATAGGCTACTACAACCTCTACAATCAGTAGAATCAGTAAACACTGATTCTGCAACGTTAAATTTGAATTATTTTCACTTTTACCAGGTGAAAACCTTCATTTTCAAAATGGAGTTTGAAAACTCTGCTCTTGTAATGGTTAAATCAGAGATGAGTTACACATTTAAGAAAATGACCTACCAGCTTAAAAAACAGGCACGTTTTAGATCAACATCAGTGCATTCTTGAGAGGACTCCAGTATTCTCAGCTATGAGTATACTCTCAGGTATTGACGGATGTTCAGAAGTCAATTTTGCTTTGGTCTGGCTTATTGTACGTTCTCCCTTCCCCTGCATATGTTTATGAACGGAGGTCCTTCAGTTAGCTTTGATGGAATTATGCCTATTTACACCTGTTTTCCTGAGTGAAAATATCCTATCAATAACAGTCATAATCATAGCAGTTCTATAACAGACATGCCTCATGTTGGGACCAACGTGTAAAATTATAAATGGAGGCTTTGCCAGCCTTGTTCTGGGATACCAGGAAATCAGGAAAGTAAATGCAGTCAATGAAAAAGGTTTCCTGTGATGAACGATAAGCTGCCTTCTCAGATCAAGGCAGTGGTAGAGAGGAGCAAGTGTGTGAACCATGGACAGAAAGCTGTACTTAAAAGGAGATGTTATCCAGTATGTACCACACCTTGTACTTGTTCACTTGAACAGAGGCGGATGTTATGTCTGATTTTATATTCAGCTGTGACATGACAGTTATTATTTTGTTTTTTAAAGATGCAGTTTCATATCCTACTCATGCTTGAGGGGTATTTATATTTGCAGCATTTCCTGTGGTGCAGCCTAGGAGAACATGGTTTGTCATTAAAAATGCTGTCTTCAATCCATATAGCTCCAGCAGATATCAGAAGAATGATAATGAAAATAGAAAGATTGTCCCTATCTTCCAAAGGAAATTTTCTAAATTCTCAGCAATTTATTTGATAGAGCTATATCTCTATCAGATTGTCACTGTGTATGTAATATTGAATGAAATTTTTGGTCCAATTAGCCCAGTGTCTTCTAGCTTTAGTGACTTCTGGTTCAGGGAGAGGTTAAGGAAAATGAACACCAAGCCATTTGGATTTTCAAAGCACTTTTATGATGTAAGGTCAGACTATACACCTTGAAGATACTGACACCAAAAAGCAAAAAAATTACCTTGTAATTTTGTATTTTTTATTATTAATGCTTGGCTATTGTATTTAGTACTATGATCTCCATAATGTAATTACGCACTCTGGGAAGAAAGAGTCCTGTTTGATCCTCTTTAATGTCATTCATTTCTCAGAGGAAGCTGTTGCTTTTCATATTTCTAGGCAGTGAAGAAAGAATGATTTGGGTTTAGTTTTTGAAGTTTTAACATCTGTAACTTGCTCCCTCCTCCTCCCATTCTGAGTGAAGTACCTTCTTTTTTCCTGTTTCTTATGATACCTTCCCATCTCACCCCCCAACTTGAAATTATTTTTCAAGTATCTCATTATACTTTTACTTCTACTTGCAGGATTATCTAACTGATCTGATTACCAATGACAGTATTACCTTCTTCAGAATCTCAAAGAAGATGTATCCTCACAGGCCTGTACTGATGGTTATAAGCCATGCTGCTCCTCACGGCCCTGAAGATTCAGCCCCTCAGTACTCACATCTCTTTCCTAATGCCTCACAACACATGTAAGGAAAAATAAAACCCTTTCATTTCTAGGTTCAAGGGTATAGAAGTCCTGGGTAGCTCTGGGGAAACAATGTTTCTTTATAATACTCTTGGCAAAAGTTTGTCACAAGAAGAGTTTTGAGAATTTTTTTTTATTTTTTTTAAACCTCTTCAGACTAGTACAAGTATCTTGAGAATGGCTACTGCATCTAGAACTCAGAATTGTAGCTCACCAAGATAAATGGAAAGATTCACATTGAATTCATTGGACACTATTACAGCCTATTTGGGAAGTTAAGCACTGGTTTATTTTTAGCAGGGGGATCAAAATCTGGTTCTTGGGCTGTAATCTCTTTTGGGGAAGAAACTTTTATCTCCCTGTCCTTATGCCTAAACTATATTATTCTATGAGTATTACCAAAAATCACATAGTATGCAGTACTTACTACTCCTGTTTCATATATGGAAAGAAAGGAAGTACAGGCCTGCAGCACCAAATTAGACAAGCTATTTCTGAATGAGCTGGTATGTCTGTACGTGACCCACTACAATGTCTTGAACGGGTCCCAAAAGCAGTATCCCCCAGTTACTGAGTTAACATGTTCATAAGCTCCAGTGAAACACCATGATGAGATGGCTCTTGTTTACAGTACGCAGATATTTTACAAGCACAGCTCGGTCGCTTCGTTACAGACCTCTTCTCACATGCTGATAAAATGAATGATTCTCCCACATTGCCTTTTGGCACAACTGAAAACATTCCAATATTTTTCTAATTACTGGCTTCGCGCCTTCATTGATGTTCAACATTTCTAACTTTCTTCCTACGTGCCCTTTTTTATTCTTTAATTTTTATGTATTTGTGAAGGAACTGTGAACTGATGGAAATAGTAACCAATTGGTAGCTGAAGCTGCTCAGGACTAGTCCAAAGTCCAATGAACTCCATTTGAGCTTTGTCGCTTTATTTTAAACAGAGTCTGAGAGGAAGAACTTCCTTTGTTCTATTGTCTAGGTATTACATAACTTAGAATTATATATTTAATTATTTTGTGCTGTGCTACCAAAGAGAGTCTGTGCCCTAGATCTACAGCAATGCAGTATTTTGTGTCTGTTTGCCATTTTATGCTCATTTACTTTCTTTGAAATGAAAATTACAGAAATGCCAAATGAGCAACTTGTGCTATAGCTTATAGCCAGTATTGACCTCAGTCTTATTAGAAGTTCTTGTGGAAGGCTTTTGTATCTCAGAGATGATAATTGTTTATCAAGCAACATTCTGTAGCAATTTAATTATGCTAGTTGAATGAGAAAGAGTAGAAGGATTTGAAGAAAGCCAGCAATAAAAAGTATAAACTACATCTATTTTTCTTTTGCTAATAGTTTAACTTCTATTTTTCACACAAATCAGGTTTATCTTCCTGATAATAAAGTAGTTACACAAAAGTATTTTTAATTGTTGGTGACTTTTCTTACAATGATAACAATTATACAGGAAGTGTCACCTTGTGGAAACAAATGCTGTTTGCAAAGAAACAAATTATCTTAGTAGATTAAGGAACTGTATTTTTCTTTTAGATATGAACAAAAATAGGATTTTATGTACATCTTGTGCAAAGAAACTGCCGATCTTATTCTGAACAATTTTCACAGCACTACATAATAATCTGTAAGGATTTTAATTGGCCTGGCTTTATGATTAAATGTAAAAATGCAGAATATGCATCATTCCCTCACTGTATGTACAAATTAGTTCTCTGCTTTCCATTTTTTTCCATGTTCCCACATTCCAAGGAATCCCTCAGTGAGAGATAAATCTGTCAATGATAAGGCGGTGTAGGCAGTTTGCTCTGTTTTGTTGTCATGTGAATGTGGCAGGGAAGGATCAGAACACAGTTTTTTATGAATTGCCTTAAAGCAGTAAACAATAACCTGAACACAGACTTTGCCTAGTCCCAGAATCAGAAGGCAGTACACCACGTAGCATGTGTCTCTTCTTGCAGCAGTGCTGACCAAGTCTGCAAGCGAATCCTGGAGCTATATCCGCAAAGCAAAGTGAAGGTGTGGCTGTAGTGCTTACACTGGTTGATATACATATTGCATTGTGTAGCTTTGCTAATAATAGCTAAAAGTTAGTGGTGTGAATTTTAGCATAGACTGACAGTCAGAGTACTACTTTGCTTGGGAACTGTGGTATGTAGTTCTATTGCTAATTTATGCTGTTGTTCTCTTGCTTCTATTATTACATGTACTAGCTGGTATGACTATTCCACCCTCTACTGCAGTCTCTCTCCGTCTCACTCTGTAGAGCTCCTTTTCATGTGCATCTGCAGTCTTTTCTTGTTTGAAAATTATTCACATCAACCAGAACTCACATAGCAAATCCCTAGGCTACATGGCTGGTTTTCCTTTTTTACTACCTTTACTGGTAGCTGCAGAGAATGCAACAGCTGGGCAGTTTAACAGTGATCAGAAATGTTATTTCTGTAGAGGGTACGTTTTACCACCCATCTTTTCCAAGGTCGAATGCAATCAGACTAGGACTTATCTTCTGAGTACATTTGAAGAGGTTATCTTAACCAACTTCTAAGAATGTTGTATTTGTGTATTTTTCCCGTAAGACAGACAAATCTGTTAAGTGTAAGAGGGTTACATTTGTAGTAATCAAAGAAAATCACAGGCTTTGGTTGGATTTAACAGTGGGAGGTTTCAAATCAGCCAGGAAATCACAAAGTAAGCTGAAAAGGAGTTTGCCAAGCATTTTTGATTCATTCTGGGCATCACATAGCAACAGTTTCCATAACTGTCAGCATTTTCAAAGGAGCAATGTCATTATTTCAGCCACAATAACATTCTGAATTCAAGAGGCTATTAACAATACGGAGAGAATAAACACCAGCCCTTTCCTCCCTATATGAAGAAGCCTCCAATTGCTGCCTACACACATTTTTCAGATAGCATCTTACAGAGGCTTTCGGCATAAAACATTTCACTGGCGGATTATTAATTTTATATTTATATTAAAAACTCTTAGCACTACCTGTCATATTCAGAGATAGATTAGATACACGGTATTTTAAGGAGACGTTTTAACTTATATTACTATTGTTTATCTTAATAACTTACCCTGCTGCTCTGTTGTATACACAAAACCAACAGTAGATATTTGCCAAATAGGAGCTGAATTTATCAGGAAATTGTGTATTGGGAAGAAGACAATAACTGAATATCTGCTATTTTTTCCTGTGTTACTGTGTCACTCTCTCAGCTTGCACATTTGCATAGACTGAGTTTATTGCTTCAAATGAAAAAGGAAGCCTCCACAAATCACTTAAGAAAAGTAATTTTTAATATTTTAGAATCTGCATGTGACGTGTTTGAACAAGGATATGAAGATATTGATAAAGGTGCTTCTCAATCTTAAGTAATAACAAACTTTTTAGGAATAGATATAGTAGGTGAAAATAACATTTCTTGCATATGTAAGCTATAATATAGCTTTCTAGTGAGTTGGTGGTGCAGAGAGTCACCGTCATCGTAATGATACATCAAAATAAATCTTTTGTTTAGACCAGCTAACCTAGAGCAATATAATTATGCACAGAAATGCAATCTCTGGATCTGCAAATAACATGAAATTATGGACAATCAGTGATATTTCTCCTCATCACTTTACTGGTGTCCCAGGATCAAGAGAACTTGGAGGGGCAGTGAGATTCCAGGAGGACATTGAATCCAGCTCTTAGGATTTTGCAGGGGCTTTAGTTAAAAGTTTCGGATGATCAGAAAGGAGTTGGTGGCTGGAAAGTGTCTGCAAAATACAGTCCTATTTCCCCTCACCCCTGCTTTTCTTGGCAGGTCTTTAAAATCCGGCTATGTATCCACTTCTGCTTGCCACGAGCTCACATGCAGTTTGATGCCACCAGGTAGGGTGCCTGTGCTCTGAGTACATGAGTGTGAAAGTATTCAAGTAGACAGTCATGCCGAATTCAAAAAGCTGTTAAGGAACATGGTGGAACCTTTTCAGCAAGTTCTATAGTTATTGTTAAACAGTTTGCATAAGCCATAATATTTGGTGCTAACGTGGGTAGAGTGAAAGCAAAGCAATTACATGAGCAGGAACTCTGTAGTACATGCTTCATCCAAATCATGCTTGTGGACTTAGACGTCTGAGACTAGTCTCTTGGCCTTGAAATGTATCCATGTTAGTCTGGAGACACTGCAAAACCAATGTATATTTACTCTTTCAATAGATTTTATTCTCCAGAGAGTTGTTTTCATTCTCCCATCTTCCACATAGAACATAAAAGTATAAGAACTTTTCCAAAGTAAATCTAATATTTTCTTTTGCACCTCAGAGAGTTAGTCCTATAGTGTTGATCAAATAGAAATTATTGGTATACCTTACTATGGCTTTTTTCTACACTGCTAAAACATTCTGTTTTTTCTCTCTGTTCCTTAGCACGCCCAGTTATAACTATGCTCCAAACCCAGACAAGCACTGGATAATGAGGTATACAGGCCCCATGAAACCTATACACATGGAGTTCACCAACATGCTACAGAGAAAGCGCCTTCAAACACTCATGTCTGTGGATGACTCCATGGAGATGGTAAGATTACTAGTCACTTTTTTTTTTTTTTTTTTTTTTTTGGCTAAACAGATGCTTGTTTCTTGAGTTAAGCTCCAGACTGTGCTGTATACGAAGATAAGGGGGAAGGAAGGAAGGAAGGAGGAGGACTGCATCAGGTTTTTAGTAGTGTCTCTATGCAATGTGTGAGGATCCTCATCTCCTCAGGTACTCTCACCCAACTCAGGTACCATGAGTTGGATGATGTGAGCGAGCTGATTTGTTGCCATATAGCCTCTACTGATGAAGGGTAAGAGGGAGGGATCACCTGAAAAAATGTACATCATAAATTCTAAAAATGTATCATCTGATAGTGAAAAGTCATCCTGCAACCTGTTGGAAATAACTACCTAACCATGGGCATGTTTTGATTCTGTAACACTGAGCTTCTGAGAGAACAACAGCAGCAACAAAAAGTGATGCTACACGAGTCCTAACTGGAATAATCCCATGGTAAACCAGGCCCAGGATGTTAAATGTTAGTAGTAAATAAATATATAGGTAGATTAGTTTTGTTTTAATTAAGTCTTCATTAGGTAACAATGAAATCTCTTAGTGCAAGCAGGGTGTCTTGAACAGAGATGTCTGAATTAGCTAAAAACTACTCTGAAAAAGAATAGGTTTCCAGTTGTAAGAAGGCAGATTTAAAGGTGTTGCAATTATCTCTTGGCATTCTTATTCAAAAAAGGTAGAGCATAAAATAAGAGGAGTCCTGTAAGGCAAAGATGAGATTGTCTGGATGGCATTGCATCAACTTCTTAGTAATGTCTTATAATTATCTGATGTAGGCAAGTACGATCTGTGCTTCATATTAATGAACCTGTTTAGATGGATCAGATACCGGCATTAGGGGAGGTCAGTTATTTTACTACGCTGTTTTGATTTTCTATTTAGTAAAATGGTTTCACTTTGGGTGATTGACTGCACGCAGAATCAGCTGGGTTGTTTTTAGTTGTAATTGCCAAGTTAGCCTGTTCTTTTCTACTGAATTGTAGGCATCTAATAGTCTTTGAAATCTATATTAAAAAAAACCCAACAAAACAACCAAAAAACAACAAACACAAAAAACCCCCAAACAAACAAAAAGCTCCAACCCAACAAAAAAGACCCAAAAAAAAATCCAAACCAAAATAACGACAGAGCTTGTTTTCTTCTGTGCTGATGTGTTCTGGATCTGTGTGAGGCAGCACTTTGGTGGTGCCCCACCACCTTCGTACCTTTGCAAGTGAAAATGTCACGTAAAAATTGATCTGTGGTGCTCAAGTTGGTACATTTCACATAAAGATTCTCTTGTAAATCTATAGAAGCGACCACAAATAGAGTTAAAGCTCCTCTTGATTCACCATGTTAGTTCTCCTACTAGTGAGAGAGTATGACTGAGTGATATTTATCTGGAAGAGATTTTGCAAATATATAATGGGGACTCATTTCTCTATGGCAAGATCGTTGGGTGTTGCTTAAATAAGTGTGAGATTCAAAATGCTATCATTCTGTTAAAATTGTTTGCTGCAGGAAAAAGATAAAGGTGGAGAGAAAATTTCAAAAATGCTTATCACCTTGAAACTTTTACCTCTGTTACCGTATGTGTTTAGTACAATCTTGACAGCTCTGATGCAAAATATTGAACCCAAACACTTTTGAAAATAAGGCATGCTAATGTGTTTACCTTAAAACAGAAAACAGAATTTTTGCCTTATAATAGCTACAATATTAAGTTAGTAAAATTATTATATGATTATGGCTTGTTCAGAATAATCTATTGCGATAACTCAGTGGCATCCTGAACTGTTGTTGTTTGTTTGTATATTACACATAGGCAGAAAATTATATCCAATATTCTGCATATAGTACTACTCAGTGGAATGAATTTTGTATTTTGTCTTGCTTTTTTTCAGATTTACAATACATTGGTTGAAACAGGTGAACTGGACAATACATATATAATATACACAGCAGACCATGGTTATCATATTGGACAGTTTGGGTTGGTAAAAGGAAAGTCCATGCCATATGAGTTTGATATCAGAGTTCCTTTCTATGTCCGAGGTCCAAATGTGGAGGCTGGATCCTTGTAAGTTCTTGGCTATTGTGTGTGTATGTTGATATAGTGACCAGAAAAATTCTTTCTGTTCACGTCTCTCATCATACTGACCTGGCCTCCAAATGGAGACACAGAGTTCTCCCAACCTGACTGACTTCCTGCTTATCTTTGGCAGAAACATGCATCTACTCAGATAGCAGAACTGATAGCATGTGTTGGTATAACAGTGTCAAGGGTTTATGCCATTGCCTTTTTGCTTGCATAAGTGTGCAGCAGAAGCCACTACACTTTTGTGGATGTAGCTGAAAAAGCCACTTTGAAACATGTCCAATCTAGGAAACACTCATTTGCCTCCTTTTGAGGAGTGCAAATAATACACACAACTATGACATTTTCAAGGTAAAAAAATATATTGTATAATGTTCCCTGCCACAGGACATAATTATTGCTGAACATTAAAGTGGAGTCATTTGTTTCAGTTCATGAAGAAGAATCTACGTAATAGTTCATATATTATCATCCACAAAATACTCTTTTTGGCTCATCCTTTGAGATTACGTGGTTAGGGCTGTTTGTCGGATGCACACAAGCATGCAGAATATGACTGTTAATTAAAATGGTAGCTTTGATCAGCTAAGAAATTATGTAAATACAGTTTCTAAGCAATTATTTCAATAGCAAATATTTGCACTTAAGTAATGATTTTGGACAGAGTGCCATAATTTGCTGCCTTTTATTTATATCAGTGTGCATGTTTTAGCATAATTAACACACACAAAGTCTTCCACATGCAATTTTTTTTCTTTACTGCAGATGAACAGATCTAGTGTGTAATACCGTAGCAATTAGTTATAAAAAAATCATAATCATTCCATTTGCTGGTTAAATTCACTGATTCACATTATCAGCAGGCACAAAGATGTTCTGTCGATACTGCACTGTGTGCCTGATTTATTTACAGCAGTTATGCATGTGAAATAAACAATATTACTTTTCTGTAGAGCAGGGGAGGGATTTCTCAGGTGGAATTCAACATATTACCTCAGCACTGAAAGAAGTTTGTCTGCAGCAGCATGGAATTTCAAGTGGGCTGTGTTAGCCTTCTAAGAAAATGCTGTCTTTCCCTTCAACTGCAGTTTTTCGTCTTACTGGAGAGGCAATGCTAATATGGCCCAAGTGGACCGAGCTAGTTTTTCTGCAACATGCAGTGCTAGAGACCAGGCAGCTTGTGTCTGCTCGAGTTCAAGGATCTTTACACCCAGGCATACATAAAAGCTGTGAAACCTTCCCACTGAATTTTATTTTTGAGTGGCTTTTGAAGATGAAAAAACATTTCTGTTAGAATCAGAGGAGTCAGCATGGCAGAGTCTAGCAGAACAGAGCCCGTCACAGTACAACAAATCGGAAGAACAGGATAAAATACCTTGGGGGAGGGAATATACCAGATAATAAATTGATCTTCCCTTTCAGCCTGATTTTCTTTAAATGGTAGAACTTCAATCATCCATGTTTTGTGTGAACTTTATGTTTTTCCTGCAGAGTAATTGTCATGACTCCCTTTTGATACCAACAAAGATTTAATAGCAGTCACTGTAGCAAGTCATTACTAAGCTCTCATTTCTCTTACAAAATATGCTACACCACAATTATTAGTAATTAAAATCAAATTAGGTACATCAATTTAATTCATCATCCATGCTCTTGTCAGTGCCTGTTTGCTCACTAGCTCAAAAATGTAGTAATTTTTAAATGGTGTCTCATTAATTAGTGTGAATTTAGCAGCTTTCTTCTGTCCTGTATTTTGAGCTAGAATTCTGCACTGACATGTATAGCAGCCCATCTGGTCCCATCCTTCCTTTGTGCCTGCAAATCATAGCATGGTGATTCTTTATGTTCAGTGCTGTAGAAGACTGTCTGTATAGCAGTATGTTCACTTTCTTTTTTTTCCCCACTTTTAAGAAATTGAGTGCCTTCCTTGATATATTTTGAAGAAATAGTACACAGCTGATAAACAGTATGTATGTATGTAATATTGTGAGTAATTACACAACACTGTCATAGACATATTTGAAGTAAACTGAACATAACTGAACTGAACAACATAAACTGAAAACACTTCTGCAAAACCAGACCCATAGCAAAACCAAGTCACATGATTAATAATTTGGACATTCGTTTAGCTACCGAATGGCGGGCTGTGCAACTAGATGCTCTGATCTGTAGAGTCACTCGTATTGAACTGCTGTGGCAGTTCAAGGGATCTGGGGATAGGAGCTGTCTGTACTACTCAGGAGTTGATGCCAATGTTTTAACCAAATTTGAAGACAGTTTGAGTTCAAATATTGTCCTGTTAACTGTGGTGGCTGAGGAGCATATGCCATACTCTCTGCTAACTAACAGGGCATGGCTGTTTCTAAGTGTTTGCAGAATGGGTAACTGTGTGCTTGGGAACAGAAAAATAAAAGCTGTACTTTTATTTTCTCTCTCTTTTTTTTTCCCCCCTCCCTTTTTTTTTCCTCCATAACTGCTTCCTCTCTGCGTTTTCTTTCCTGGTCCCTTTCCTTTTTCTGTCTCACACTATACATTAACAACAACTTTTAGTTATTTGTTGTACTGTCTAGCAATCTATTTCTCATCGTGTTCTCTTCAGAACATGCTTGGTGTGGTATGAGCTGAGGTACTTATTTCTATACCATATTCTGAAACAGATAAAGCATGTGCTACCTGCCAAATTTACTTTTTAATAAAGTCATCAGCATATTTTGCAGACGCTTTGTTTCTGTAAGACACCCAAGGAGTTTTTCCAATGCTTTCTCATGTTTTGAAAGACTTTTGAACCCTCTTTTGCAATAATTAACTAACTTATGAACTACTTTGCTTTCTCAAAAATACTCTGTGCTAAAGTTTTAATTTTTCATATTAGTCCCTATCAATTTTATGAACTTACCTATATTTTACATTTTAATTCCTTTCATGGAAAGGAATTGGATGATGTCCTCTTTTTCTCTTTGGAGATGTCACAAAATAAGCCCCGGTCTCTGTGGAAGAGCTGGAGTTGCTTGGTATTCTTGCATAGATTTTAAACCAGGTTCTCATACATGTTTTTTCAGGAATCCTCACATTGTGTTGAATATTGATCTTGCACCTACAATTCTAGATATTGCTGGATTGGATATTCCATCTGATATGGATGGTAAATCCATTCTAAAGCTTCTGGATTCTGAGAGACCAGTGAATAGGTAAGAAATGGAAATGTGCGTATAAACATGTATGTGCTTGTACAGGAGACTGAGCTAGTATTCAGCAACATGCAGCAAATTTAAAGGAAAATATAGTAAAATTACCATCTATATGAGCCCATCATTCACTGGAAAATCTAAAGACCTATTTGGCAACGTGTGACTGACTTCAGTTATTTATTTTTGTCAGGTTCACATACTAGCTATATGGCATCTGCATATACTAAATGTAATCGGTAGCAATGAGAGGGCTACACATGAAGGTCTTTAGCTATCTAAGCTATAGATTGTAAATGTCTCTGTGGCATCGTTTGTAGCAAAGCATTTCGTATTGAATAAACTGTAGAATAATTGAGTTGAAAGGGTTGGTTGTGTATCAGACTATATATATAAAGACAGGCTAGCACTCAGAATTTCACAGTTATTATTTGAGACTTTCCATCAATACTTTCATTGGATAAGAGACTGTATGCTTGCTAGAGAAAATCAGTAGAAAAAGGGAAGATGGAGATTTGCTTTACAAGTAGTTGGGTGGAGGGAGAGGGGGAAAGAAGCAGCTGCTTTAGAATAGGATACTTTGGGGGTAGGGTGCAGGTTAAGAGCCCAAACTGGAGTCAGGAAATCCTCATTTAATTTGCAATCCTTTGTGATCAAGGACAATTCAGTTAATCCGCTGTGCCTTAAACATGCTTATGGTGAAATAGTTGTACAGTGTGAATCTGTTGTGGATTTCATCCATGTGAGAACAAATCTGTCCTATGTTTGTTCTTGATTTGCACTGCAGAGGCATATGTGCCTGCTTGATAAAGCTGGCTGTCCCCTTGTGCAGTTATATGTAATGTTTCTCATCTGAATTGGGGGTGGGAGAGAAAACTGGGGCATGACTTGATTACTGGTTTTGTGGGAATTGCTTCTTCCTCTCCTCGTTTCCTCCTAGGTTCCATTTAAAGAAAAAGATGAAGGTGTGGAGAGACTCATTCCTAGTGGAAAGAGGGTAAGGAAAGTGTTAATCACAAAGCCCAGTCTTTTTAAATAGAAGGATACTGAATAGCTGAAGCCAAATCAGCACTCTACCACAGACCTAAAGCCATTTAACTGTGCCAGCAGGGACACGGCTGCAGTATGCCTAATGGCAGTGATTGTGTGATAGGAGGGAATGTATGGCCTTTGCCTACAGCCTGCAGAAATGTGCTGTTGGGGTGGGGGAAGGGGAGGTTTACTTGGATTGAGAGATGGAAAGGCATCCCATTTTTCTTTCAGCTGCTGCCCCCCGACCCTCCTGCTTGTATCATGGGAGTACGAATAACCTTTCCTCTCCACGTGTTCATCTGCTGGCCATTCCCTCTGTGCCTCTGCCTTAATACATAACACGGGGCACGAGGGGTTTGCAGAGTGCAGCCCTGTAGAGTGAGGACGATATAGTGTCTTCATATCGGCTCTTGTTACTGCCTGCCAGTCAGACATGAAACACACCATCTTGAGTTTGTATGTTTTTGTACGCTCCCTGAGGGCATAATATGAATAGCTTGTGTGTTATCAGAGATGGTGATAAGTGCTAGTTTCTACTGGACTATTAAGTTTTGGCCACAGTGATGCTATGGACTTGGCAGATAACCTACTTCTCTGAGCCTTTTCAGCAAACTGTATGTATATCTTGGAATTAATATTAATGCAAAATTTATTTTTTTCCTTTTCCAGTAAACTGCTGCATAAGAGGGAGAGTGAGAAGGTAGATGCCCAAGAAGAAAACTTTCTACCTAAATACCAGCGTGTGAAAGACCTCTGCCAGCGAGCTGAGTATCAAACAGCTTGTGAACAGCTTGGCCAGGTAGGGCATTGTACCCCTGGCTGAAAGCAAGCAGTTGTAGTTGGGCTAAGCTTAACATTGTGACAGTGTCCTTCACCTTGTCATCAGTGCCAACATAGAAATCAAATGGCTCATTCTGTGGCCTGTGCTCAAAACCATATTATAGCATTTATGAGATTGACTGTCAGTCAGGAAATTGCTGATTCAAATGCCTCTCTATTGATTCCTGACTTAAGAGAACTGCCTAGGCTGTTTTAACATTTTATTCCCCAAACAGAATGTGGCTGGGATTCATTAGTGATGACATGCTACAATGAACCTAACAGATTGGCCTCCTCCAAATACACGTAGCTCCCTTTGCTTTGAATTATTAATATAACTCATTTTGTTGTTATTATTTGGAATTGCATACGGGTAAACTAATATTCTGTGAACTCAAGATACCCCTCCTCTAAACAAAAATATACTGTGAAAACACATGTGCAGTTATGACTGCAGGCAGTCTGTGTGCATATGGGCACGAAGCTCATTGATTGTGTGTCATTTCTCTTGTTGTTACATTACTGTTCTGGGCAGATATGAAAATACGTTCACTTTTGATCCAAGTTATGTAGAAGAAATTCAGGAAACAAGATTTAGAGCAGTATCAATACATGGTCTCAGTGCAGAAGGTTTTGCAAATTTACCAGAGCAGTGCAAAGGCGTAGCAAAGCTACCACCAGCAGCTCTGCTCCTGGGGAGATTTCTCCACTCTTGGGGGTATTCTCATCCTCTGGCAACATGGCAAAATTGACTCTGTGCCATTGCTTTCTCATCCAGGTACTGGTCAGAGCACCCCCTTCCAAGGCCTGTAATGCATTCTGCCCATGGACATGTGGACAAAAGGGTGAAGGTAGATGAGTCCACATGCTAATGTGTCTGTTATTAGACTGGCATTACCTCATATCCTGACAGCTCAGAGGGCTGTCAGAGTAAGTCAGCCTGTGGAATATAACCATTCTTGCAGACATGATCTGAATGTCTTACCGCGGCTATAGTAAGTAATGGGCTACTTAGGCTATAGTAGCTTGTTTTCTACTGTTGGAGGCCAGACTCCCTGCTTCTGGCTCTACCGGTCATGTAGTTCAGGGCATCTGTGAAATGACTCCATTGTTCCTTAGGTGTTGGATTCAATTTATACATATAAGCATGTTCCAGATGCTCTTTTCCTCCTGTGGCTTCTTTGTCAGATTTAATATACAGAGAGATTATAACAGCCTGTTCTTCCTAAAAATACTGAACTGCAGTAGTTTATTGTCATCAGATGTCTTGAGCTGAAATTTTAGATGGGTGGGAGCAAGCCATTGTTTTTTGAATTTGCAACGTTCTTTGAGAAAGTGGGGGAAAAGTCATTGTTTCTGCTACAACATCATCCAGTAAGTAGTTTGGGGAAATATAGCTTTTCTTTTTCCATCAGTATTTTCCCTTTGAGAGATGTTTCAACTTCTTCCTTTTGTCTTCATCTTCCCAATTATTTTGAACATTAATGTAAGAACAGAGGGGAAGAGAGAGACTTTCCAAGTCCATGTTGTCACTGAAGCTGTCTCTTTGCATAAGGTAACTTAGCTACATTCAAGCTTTCTTACTCTAATTACCACATGTCTCAGTTATGGAAGAAAAAGGGAAGGCCCTTTATTGTCTACACACATTCAGAGGCTTATGTTTTCTTCCATGGATAATAAAATATCTTTGAAATCTGTAAGAAGTGGGCATAAAATGTCAACTCCGTACTCAGAATTGCCAATGAATTCTGAAGTGAAGGTGTGCTAATAAGAGATGCGTGTGCTACATCCTCATTGTCAGGAGTCAGAGAGGAGGAGAATTGTTTTGAGCAGTTCAGTCAGACGTAATTGGAAGTGATAGGATGAAATTGAGCAAAAAAGAAATTTAAGTTGGACATCAGGAAAAATTGCCTAACAATCATGTCAATTAGAGTCTGGGAAGGGCTCTCAAGGGAGTCTCAATCCATCTAACCCCTGCTCTAGAGAATATGTCCTAGTTGTCTGTCTAGACAGCAGGAATAGTGGGAGATGAATGTGCTTGTTTGAGAATAAATTGTGTCTAAATATGGGTGCACCCAAAAGTCTTCAGAGTGAAGCAAGACTAACTTCTCAAATGACAAATGGGTGTTGTCTGTTTGCTGGTGCTGTTCACAGCTCTGCATAGTAAGTAGAATGAGCCCAAATGAATAACATACCACTGCCTTGGGGGAGTTTGGGATATACAGTGGTTATTTAGCAGATGTCTCCTCATCCTGTGGGACACTTTATTATTGTGCATTTACCAGTATCTGGAGTGTTTTGTGCAAAAGGTGAATTTTCACATCCTGATGCAAAGATGAAGAGAAGTCTGAGTCAGCATTGGGTGAAAGCTTGCTAAAGTTGTTGGGACTCTTTCTTTTGACTCAAACAAGTTTTGGGAACCTGCTATTCCATGCACAGAGAACTCTGAGCGGTGTCAGGGAATCTGAAGTGTGAGCAGGAGATGAGAAGCACAAATGGAGGACAAAGACTCAGAAGGGGAGTGAATGAGAAGAGACAAGACAGAGCTTAAAGTAAAGGAGAGGTAAAGAAAGCTTTCAATGTGAGATGGAGAATTTGAAATTCTGCTTTGTGAGCGTGCAAGTTGTGAATACAGTTCTATCACCACAAAATGCTCTTCCTCTGCAAATCTCTGTCACCCTCCTTGACCTATAATCGTTTTGATAAGAGAGCACCAGGATCATGGAGATGAGGCTATTCACGCCGTTTAAAACCTTTTTTCAGAGTCCATTATGTGGGATTTTTTTTGGCAACACTAATATATGTAAATTCTTCTGAGTGCAATGGGAATCTGTGTGTTGCCATGTTTTCTTTTTCAGTTAGTAGGGTTTGGTCTGTGTTAGTTATTTGCATCCAACAAAGGGTGACTGTAGGCTCGGATGAAAGAGCAGCTCAGCATTTATATTCAAGGATTTAAAAGAGATGAGCTCTTTCTTCCCACATGAAATAAAAAACATTTATCCTAGTACCTAATAGGTTCCACACAAATTTTTTTCTCTTCAGTGTAGTTCAGCCTTTCATTCTAAACTGCCTGGTAAGTAGAAGCTGACCCACTTTTATCTGGCGGCCTACATTAATGTGCTTTTGTGGAAGCCAATTATGATATCAGCGTTGCTCTGTAGAGTATTCCCAGCAACTCCACAGTATCATAACAACAGCTGCACAAAATCTCCCTCTAAGTCATTTGCCAACTTTGTGCACATTTGTTAAACATGCAATACCTGCAGCACTGCTGATTGCTATAGGGAATCTATGCTGTACATGGGGGGGAAAAAAAATTGTCTTTAGCTGGACCTGGCATAGTACAATAATATTGTGAACTTGTGAAGAAAAATAGTTGTCTGAATTCACATTATTTCCTTTTCAAAGCTCTGTTTATGTGCAAATCTGATACAAGTAGAATTTGCCTTTAAATAGCATTAAAAATATTCTTTTTCACCAGGAGAATATTCAAAATGCAAAAATTTACACTTTGTTTCCTTCAGGTGTTCTGCAAATGAAAGGTTTTCCTCTCATTGCTTTGTGCTGTACCAGGATCGTGAAGGGATATTCTCTTTTGTAACTGGCATGGAGATATCCTATGTAAAAGTATGTCACTTTCTTGATTGGTCCCCCCAATTCTCTTGACATAGCAGTGATGAAAACTATTCTGATCAATGTGTGCTTTCCTACAGCAGTTCATAAGTGGTACCGTTAGATCATATTCCTGCCACCATAATCATCATTAGCCATTGCCTAGTGCCAAGGGTGGAGCAGTAGAAAGAATTACTTACATTTTCTCCCTTTCCTGAGAGAATTGTAGCTTAAACTTATGTTAACCAGACCTAGGAAACTAAGTCAGGTTTTATAAGGAATTTCTTTAAAAACTGGGAAGAAAGTTTCTGATCTGTGTATTTTTTTGTGGTTGTCCAGTTCTTTTGTATCTAGCAGAGATATCCTGAGGTTACTAAAGAATTTAGGTTCTGTTGATAAGTGAAGTATATCAAGCCAGCTAGAATCCAGATAATTTTAATAACTCATTAGGCGGATCTTTGGCATTCCAGTGTGAGTTGCACGTGCTCAGCAACTTTCAGGATCCGGTTCTCAGTCTGTGATTGCAACAAGAAATGACTTGTTGATAACTTCATACATTAAAAATGTTATCAGCCCTCAAACTGATAACATTAGGAGGCAACAAACCATGAAAATTAAAATAGTGATGATTTATTAAGACCTGTTATTCAAGGATTGTATTCCTTATCAGGAATTATAATTAACAAAACTATTTTCCTCCTTTAGCCAGAAATAGCCTGTAATGATTTCCAGAGGCTATTTTACTTATAGGGTTTTTTGCTTGCTGTTGCTTCACAAAACTCTTAAGAAAGTTACATCTGTTGTTATCCGAGATGTTTAAACTCCTTGTCATTGCAGTAGCGGATGTTACAAATAGCTTGCCAAAATCAATACCAACATTTAATAAAAATGCCAAATTTTTCAAATATCCTGACATGAGCAGCAGTATAGTTTAGCTCAAAAGACAAAGAGCTGGTGGTCAGGAGACTGGCTTCACTCTCAGAACTGTTACGGACTCGATGTGGGACCTCAGACAAATCAATTCCCCTTTTGGTGCTCCTGGTTTTTTCGTCCACCACTAATGTAATATCTGCTTAGGCTGCACTCACTCCTTAGCTTCCGCAGTACCTAACACAGCAGCTGGGACCATTTCATACCACAATCCAATTATTATATTAATAATAAATGATTATATAATTGTAATCTTAAATTTAGCTGAATACCTGATTTTTCATTTGTGTGCTAGTTGGTTGACCCACCTATAGATATAGTTTGGGGCATTAAAAAGCCCTCCAGGTTTTCTGTCAATAAGTTGTTCATCCACCTTATAATTTTAAGGGTTGAGTGATATGTAGTGTTTGACAACTGAAATTGAGCTGAGAGGCCAGA